ATACCCTATATAAATACAAAGACGATTCAGAAGTTAGTTTGATTTAGTTTACGGCACCTATTTAACGGTTTGACTGAATTCACAACGCATCAGCTACACGATGTACCTATTCCGTTAGTATATGCCTATTCCGCCTATAATCCGCTAAATCGGAAATCTCTAATGCAGCTCGATTTTGACCCAAGGAATAAAAAATATTGGGAAGAGCGTTTTTCACGGATGACGTCACAATTGTGCATCATGGGGTTGAAATGCGGACAAGACAAGAACACATACTAACATTCTGCAGAAATGTTTTGTAGTCTGGCTGTTTTCAATTCATGGAACGAAGAACTACGGGTTTTCGAGTGAGCTTCTTCTCTTTCATGATCGAAGCTTTGATTTGCAATGTTTGTCCGCATTTGGATCCCATGAAGCTTTGCGATATCTATTTTTAGTAACCGTGAAAAATGCAAGTGGCCGATGTGACATCTTTTTCACGGTCCGGTTTCGACCCAGTCCTTCCACGATATGACACTCGGCAATATTAGTTTTCCTCGTGTAACTCTTGTATCACAAGTAAGTACATTTCTGCCTTTTTTCAACAATATACTACAAGGAATTAAAGACCTGAGTACTTCTTCTGGTATTTATATATGGAATCGCTAAAACCGAAACAAACTACTAAAACAATTTTCCGCGAACAGAATTTCAAAAATCTGCAATATTGGAGCTAAATTAATTTGTTCCGTTTGTCAGTGTGACATCGCCAAAGGTAACTAAGGGGAGTAGGAACCACGAGAGCGTACGGTAACGAAATTTCTTTTGGCTGATTGCCTTTTAAATTGCCAACTAGACAACTGTTGGATAATGTTGATTAATRAGTGACAAAACCTATTGTTAAGATGGTTGGCACATTTAAAATATTTTTATAACAATGTTTATAAACATTAATACGTCAACCTATAAAAAACATGCATATGATGTTTTACTTTGGGTTTTAAGAAATGCTTACCCTTGCGTTAGCTTTTGGTTTGTTTTTTCCCATATCTCTTTTAGTTGATCTACTGCCTTGACCATTTCCGGTCCTAACTTCTTCCTTTTTTCCAATTTGTTTTTCGCGGCATTTATGACCTCTTCTGTCAAAGGTGGATGAGCAGTTTCGTTCCCACTTGTTTTAACCGGTTTTAGCTGTTTTATCAAAAATTCGTTCCAGTCAACCTCCTTTTTTAAATCTTTCCATCTTAACCTTGCTCTTTTTCGTTCACCTTTGTCTTTAATTTGCGATGAAATGTATTCTTCCATATACCGAGTCCTTTTGTTCTGAATTTCGTTGAAATTTTCTTGCAGCACAATCCTCAAGAGGTTTTCCTGAACGCTTGAACAGAGTTGCCGAATAACCAACTCATCTTCAGAAAGCTCAAACTTTTTCTTCAACTTTCCGACTTCCCCTTTGACTTCATTGGCTTCCTTTTCAAGGAATGTGTTGCTCTCTTCTAAGTCTCCGTTTTTCATCTCCAACGTTTTGATTTTTTCTCGCAGGGTATTGGCTTCTTTATCAAGTTTTTCTATTTCTTCCTCAAGTCTTGTTATTTCTTCTTTAAGTCTTTGTATTTCTTCTTCCAGATCATGGATTTTCGGTTGGCAATTTTCATCATGGTCTTTCAGTTTCGCTTCTAATTTTCTCGCCTTTTCTTCCAAATGAATTTTTCTTTCCTTTTCCTTTCTATTATAGTTTCTGAAGAAACCTGTCTTACTTTTTTCGGCCATAACTGAAGTTGCCCTAAAGATAAATGTACGTAAGCAATAATGGTGTTAAAATGAAAAATAGGATTTATCTTGGCATTGTAATAAATGACACTTATTCGTTTGTCTCACATGAGGGTCATGATAATAATAA